GGACATTGACTCACGACTTTTGTTGTATCGTTCTCAATGGATGGTTGCTTGGTTCCAATGTGTTATCTGCTCTTGCTTTGACTACTCGGACTTCAGTGTGATTTGCAATTGGGATTTCTTTGCTTCGTCCACATTCATGTTCCTTGCAATTTGGTATCGGAGCTGGTTCGATTCGCCGCTTACCTTGGTGCGCTGACGTTATTCAGACTTGGTGCGTTGACGATGCTTCTTCGCAGTTGGTTCTTGTGACGTCAGGCCGAAACTAGGCGCACAACCTGGGTAGAGAGGTGTGCGCCGGAAGGCTATACGGCTTGGGATGTCGTGGCGACAGCGGAATGTATGATTGGTGATGAGAGCATGTTGATGTGGCATTTGGCTGAGGTGGCACTGCATTGCGTTGTGGGTGGTACCGAGGCTAACGACCCGTCATCAAATGGACACTCAGCTCAATTGGTGAGAAATCTGTGGTTGGGGGCAGCTATCTACAGGTACGTTGATCCCTTACCTTATCTACCCTCTCAATCTCTTCTTACCGCGAGGAAGTGAGTCCAACTTGAGAGTCCTCTCTTTTGGTGAGGTGTAGTGAGCGCTCTACCTTGAGAGACGACAATCTTCCCGGTGGTGCATCTGGAAGGAGAAAGGGCGGTGCCTCTGAAGGGCCCTGGTCGAAGCACGTGGGTCACGGTCACCATGCCAACCCAATGGGATTAGTACACGCATGTGATGGCTACTTTGTCCATGAGGCAACTTTTGCTGCGCTAATAGAGGGGTGTGCGGACTGAACAGGCTTATGCAGACGCTCCCAGACCGTCTATAAACATTTCTGGATGGGGATCCGATCTGTCCACTGGTTGTGATCGTTGTCCTGATTGCGACGTTAAATAATTCCTGAGCGACCTTGGGGGCAGTCCTTAAATAGGCCTCTTGATCAGCCAGATCAGTCGGACGTACGACTCGTTGCACGCGAGGATAAAGAAAGGGCAAGCCTGGTCATAAGCATGCACCTGGGACACAGGGGTGGGCCGACATTGCACACCTATGACACTGCTGCTCAATGATGCTCATCGGTATGTTGGATTGAGGGGAGGGTAGGTTCCAATTGGTGCTCAACTGTAAACACAACCATATCCACTGTTCATACATCTGCAACATAATTTAGTTTTATTGTTGATTAGTTGGTTGACAGACTGCTAACACCTCATAAACAGCTTAGTTTAGGACTGTTGTATGCTACCATAGCCAGCTCTATGCAAAGCTTCTATAAGTGAACTAATCTTGATATAACTAAATTATGTTTATGATCTTTGTGAATGTTGTAGGCTGCCACTTGATCGGTTGAGTAGGGGACCTGCCGGACACATTTATTTTTAGAAAATTAGGTGCCAGTCAGACACATGTTGTGGTAGGACTCCAACAGGGAGTTGTAGTGCAGATAGTGTTTGCCTAGCTGATGAGTGGGTCAGACACCGATGAGGGTAGAGTTGACGATGCGAGGCTGACACATTCGAGATCACTTAGGGTCCCGCACGTGTTTCAGGCCCTACAGCCGGGGGACGAAAGACGGCTTCGTGCTGAAGTTAGAGCCCGTGCTTACGCAGCAGCGAGGGAAACAGCACTAGCTGCAAGTCAAGTGTTGGCAGCAGCAAACGCTGCAGCTAGGGAACGGGCAGCAGCAGCCAGCGCAGCAGCAATGGCTACTGCTGCAGCCTCCTCTGTTGCATCCTCGTCTGGGACCCTGTTGGGAATGTCCTCTAGGCCCACAGGTACTTTCGGATCAGTAGGTTCTAGTCAGTCCACAAGTCAAATGGCGGGCTCGCAGTTCAGTCCGTTGACCCCACGCGGTAGAGAGCTACTAGAGCTCCAACAAGTCGAGAGGATCCGCACACCGTTAGAGAGGGAACTGAAGCAAGCTACCGATAGGGAAAATGAGACTAGAAATAGAACAGCCAGGCTTGATACGTTAGAGGCAAACAAAGTTGTGTTAGAGGAGTTAGATGAGTCAGCAATGTCTGACGCAATGAAAGTCTTTAAGGTCCAGCATACTGTCGCTGCATGCGCATGTGGACAGCAGGCTAGATTTCATGCAGAACTCCTTGGACCAAATCTTGGACCTTTTGCAAACGCCAGGATTATGGCCAGCAGCACAGTCGCCGTTGTCGTTAACGGCGATGTCAGGCCCCTTTCCGGTACAAGCTGGCACACAGCCAAGTGGTACGTCTGCAGCAGCCGCACAGACTGTTGTTTCTTCTTCTTCTGGTCCAGCAGCTGGATCTACATCACAGGATTCACAGCCGCAACAATCTGTTCCACCTCAGGGACAGTAGCAAAGTCCATGGTACCCAAAGACCCCAATGAAGCCGCCCCTTGCTTTCTCCGGTGAGAAGAAGGATGAGGAACTCAACACTTGGTTGAGGACGGTTCGGATGTGGGTAAGGGCAAAGAGGACGTTGCAGGAGGAGGAGGTGATTACTGCTGCATCTTACCTTGAGGGTAAGGCAGCCAAATGGATGGACGGGATAGTAGCGAAGGCCGGGTTCGGACGATGCATGGCAGACTGGGGTAAGACCCTTACTTTAGAAGAGTTCTTAGATATGGTAGAAGCTCGCTGGCATAATCCGCAGCAGGCACAAATTGTCACTGATGCGATGCTCAGACTAGACCAACAAAGGTACAAGTCTGTCAGAGAGCTGACGTCTACCGTAGAGAACCTCGTCGTCGTTCCCGGTATACGCTATGATGACCAGGTCTTGTTGACCATGTTTCTGAGATGTCTGCCCGAGAATCTTAGGACCTTACTGGCCAGCGAGGCTCGCCTCGAGTATCATTCCTTTGAGACCTTCTCTAGAAAAGCCTTAGATTTGGAGGCTACTCTAGGAAGTGCTCAACCTACTCCAGTAGACGGGAGGAAGAAGAAGAGTCCACAGGAGTGGAAAAAGAAGGGTAGTAGATTGATGATGGTTGAGTCCGATGGGACTCAAACTGAAATCGAAGAACTTACCGACCTGATGGACGGTCCAGAGTACGACGACGAGGAAGTCACTGAGGGTAGCACCCTCGCCGCAGTAGTAAAGACTAAGGCAGGTGGCCGAGGTAAGGGCCATCAAAAGAGTCAAGGGCAGACCGCCTCCAATGAGCCCAAAGTAGCAGATTGGGTTAAGGCAGGTCTTGATCAGGAAGTGTGGCGGGATCGCCGAGTGCGTGGTGCTTGCATCAACTGTGGCGAATACGGACAGACCCAGTACAAATGCAAGAACGCAAAGGTCACGCAGAAGATACCCCCTAAGGGAGGGGTACCTTCTTCCCAGGCTTCCAGCTCGGGAAACATTTGAGGCCGGTGGAAGTTTTAGCTACTTCTACTCATGGTGAAGTGGGCCAGATACCCTCCCCACTTCATGAGATGGCCATAGCTAATGACTCTTTAGTCACCCTGCAGACTCATCTAGACCAAACTATGCTTTGTACGCTGGATGTGTCTGAGGCCTTAGAAGATTTAGAAAGTGAGTGGTCAAGCAAGGACCCTCGCGAATCTTGGGTGGCACTAAGTAGAGGTCCTAGAGGGGAACATTTCGGCGTGGAAGTTGTTGTAGGAGGCCGCAAATGTGGAGCCTTCGTAGACATCAGCTCCATGCGGAATTACATAAGTCGCGACTGTTTGGAAAGGTTGCACCTCGAGGACCGGGTACAGCACCTTAGTAGACCGGTAGCATCTACTTTGACCAATAAGGAGCGCATGGTTGTCACAGACTATGTCAAGGATGTAGTCTGTACCTTCTCCTATGGAGGAGGGGAACTTAATCATAAGATTTCGTTCCTGGTTAGCGACAACTTACCATTCGATATGTTGTTAGGAATGTACTACCTTGAGGTTGCCAAGCCCCAGTTTGACTGGGACAAGAAGGTGCTGAAGCATAAGTTGCCTGATGGAAGGACCATGAGACTGGCCAAGTACAAGGCTAGTAGGTTATTGGAATCCTATAGCTGCTTGTGCGCATCAGCATTCTACAATTACTATAAACAGAACCAAGAGGAGGGTATGTACCTAGTGTATGTCTCGGAGAAAGGGGAGGCCGTTAAAACACCCCCAGAGATAGAACACGTCGTCGCTAAGTTCCCTGATCTGTTCAAAGAGCCCACAAGAGTCGTAGATAGGGAGATTGTCCACGCCATAGAAATCATTCCAGGGAGTAAAACCCCAAAGGAAAGGATCTATAGGATGGCTTCGACCGAGTTGGACGAACTTCGGCGACAACTGAAAGAGTTGACAGAAAAGGGTTGGATACGGCCGAGTACTTCCCCCTTCGGATTTCCAGTGTTGTTTGTACCGAAGAAGGGGGGATCGTTGAGGATGTGCATTGATTATAGAGGCCTCAATGCCATCACAGTGAAGAACGCAAAGCCTCTACCTCACATAGACGACCTATTGGATAGGGTGCAGGGATGTAAGTACTACAACAAGATAGACTTAAAGTTCGGCTACCATCAGATTGCCATAAGACATGAGGATCAGCACAAAACTGCATTTCAGACCAGATACGGTCTGTACGAATTTGTGGTGATGCCCTTTGGCCTTTGCAATGCGCCGGGTACATTCCAACACGCCATGAATAGGATCTTCCATGACTACTTAGATAAGTTTGTCGTCGTATACCTTGATGATATTCTTATCTTTAGTAAGTCTGTCGAGGAGCATGCACAACACTTAGAAACTGTACTCTCACTCCTGCGACAACACAAGTATAAGGTCAACCTAGAAAAATGTGAGTTTGGACGCACTAGGATCTTGTACTTGGGTCATGAGGTATCCGCGGAAGGGATTAGGCCGGAAGATGCGAAAGTGGCTAGTATTAGGGACTGGCCACGACCTCAGACTGTTACTGAGGTCAAATCTTTCTTAGGAATGTGCGGCTACTATAGGAACTTTGTGAAAAACTATTCCACGGTCGACTCTCCTTTGACTGATCTAACTCGACTTGATACGCCGTAGGACTGGAGTGATGAGTGTGAGGCTGCTTTCAAACAATTGAAGCATGCACTCATGAATCATGAGGTTCTCATGGTGCCCGATCCTCAGAAGACTTTCATTGTGACCACTGACACAAGCCAATACGACATTGGCGCAATGCTGGATCAGCAGGATGGGAAGAAGTTGAGACTGATTGAGTACATGTGCAAGAAAATGCCATCAAAGAAACTGGCAAAGTCCACCTACGAAAGGGAACTCTATGCTCTCTACAAGGCACTTGTCCATTGGAGGCACTTTCTGTTGGGACGATTTTTCTATTTGAGAACTGACCATCAGACCCTTAAATGGATCAAGACTCAACCTGCTCTTTCTGATGCACTCAAGCGCTGGATTAAGGTCATAGATCAGTATGACTTAAAGCTGGAGTATCTGAAGGGAGAGTACAACAAGGTTGCAGATGCGTTGTCACGTAGGGCAAACTACCTAGGGGCGCTAGTTTCCGAATTTGGCGTATCTGAGGAAGTAAATCAATCGCTGGTGGGAACCTATCAGGAAGACCCTGTCACGATGGACATCATACGCAAACTGCAGGCGAAAGATAAGGCCACGGAAGATGAGTTTGTGATGGTGGACGGGCTACTCTTTCTTGATAAGGCCAAGTTTAAAAGATTAGTTATTCCATCTAGGGAACGTTTGCGTAGTTTATTTTTAGGGAAATGTCATGACGCAATAGGACACTTTGGCTACAAGACGACAAGCGCTAATCTGATACAGCGATTCTGGTGGCCCGGTACGCTAGATGATGCAAAGAAATATGTGGAGACGTGTCAGGTCCGTCAGCGGGACAAGCCGCGAACTCAAGCACCGCTTGGGTTGCTGAAGCCCTTACCTATCCCCACTGGTCCGGGACAGAGTGTTTCCATGGATTTCATGGACACCCTGGTGACCAGTAGGAGTGGCAAGAGGAACATCTTTGTCATCATAGACCGATTCACCAAGTACGCTAGACTAATTGCCATGTCAGAGACAACAAGGACTGAACACGTCATCAAGTTGTTTATGGACAACTGGGTGCGTGATTTTGGACTGCCAAAGACAATCGTTAGTGACAGAGATGTCCGCTTTACAAGTGACTTGTGGAAGAAGACTGCTGAGCGATTGGGCAGTCAACTTCAGATGACCTCCGGGAATCATCCCGAAGCCAACGGACAGGCCGAGCAGATGAACAGAGTTGTACAACAGCTGCTGAGGCATTACATCAAGCCCAGCCAGGATGACTGGGATGAGAAATTGCCTCTCATCGCCAGCCTGTACAACAACGTTGTACACAACAGTATCGGCGTCAGTCCTAACTAGCTGCACTTGGGATGGAAGCCTAGATCGGCGTTGGACTTCCTCCTGCTTGAAAAACGACCCTCTGCAACTCCGGGCACATTTGAGTATGGTGTGCAGTATGAGAAGTTGCTACAGCAAGCTGTCGAGCACATCAGGAAATCTCAGAAAGCAATGATTGCTTCTGAGAACAAACATCGTCGACAATCCTCATTTCAGGAAGGGGAACGTGTCTGGGTCAAGGCTAGTGAACTAGGACAGGAATTCGGTATCTCTCGAAAACTAATGCCTCAGTATTTTGGTCCCTGGGAAGTCCTGGACATACTTGGGGATGATTTGGATGGTCCTTCCTATGTTATCCGTATCCCTGGTCACTTGCGCACTTACCCTGTTTTTCACGCCTCAAAGCTTGCACCTTTCGCTGAGACAGATCAATTTCCCTCAAGAAGATCAATGCTGCCCCCATCCATGGATGGCCACGTGGACGTCGACGACATACTGGAACATAGAGATACGCCTGTTCCAAGACCTCTGGGCCGAGGAAGACCTCCGAAACCCAGAAGAGAGTACAGAGTCAGATTCAGGCATCACACGGATCTTAAAGAAGATCGATGGTTCACCAGAGAGGAACTGATTGAAACAGCACCTCAAGTGGTAGCTGAATATGAACGACAGTTAAAGGGGAAGGCACCTGCGAAGTAAGCATCTCAGCGGACTTTCGAAGCTAAGGGGGATGGAACGTGAGGATTGAGCCCTCAACGGGGCCTTGCCGACATGCATATGTTTTGGGCATAGGCCACCAACAAGCCTCGTGCCCGCCCTAAGTGAAGGCGGGCCAGATTGTCCACGAGAGACCTTCATTCAACATTTCACAAAGTGGGTATCAAACAGTTGCCGCACGCCAGTTGGTTGGAGTGCATCGTGAGCCTCGGACTCCTGCAAAGGCAGTTGAGCCCAGGGCCTCGGTTGGTTGAGCCCTGGGCGAAAGTCTGGGAGGCCGACACATCACACATTGGTCCCTGGCCTCTGAAAAGCAGTATTTCGTCGTAGAGGCCGAGGAAACCAATGGGAAACCGGTACAGGGTCTAAATCTGGACAACGGCCCTGGCATAAGGGGCGCAACTGTATTACCTGGGCCCCATCTGCATTGGGCCTGGGTACAGGTACTGGGGCCCAGGCGCAGGCTCAAGGCAGACCACCCACACACAACACTGGCATATAGGCAAAGCAGGCGAGTAGGCAAGGATCTTGGCCATTGCGAGCAAGGCCGGCTTGCTGTTGCATTGCGAGTGTGCTGCGCTGCGCTAGGCTGAGAGAAGGCAGGCTGGCGCTAAGCGGTAGGGTGCAGCCTGGGCGCAGGGCGCTGGCAGCCATAGCCAGGCTGCATGAAGGCGCTGGAGGAGGTGAGGGCGAAGGTGGTTCTTCGGGAGGTGAAGGGCGCTGTGTGGGATAACAAGGGAGAGTGAGGGACAAGAGAGAGTGACGTAGCTGGTGGAAGAGGAGGTCGGCATTGGTGTTGACGTCATCAGTAGCTGGTCGTCAAGTCGTCTGGTTGCTTCCATGACTGTAGTTGTAGGATAAGCTGTAGAGTAGATAGGGTGCCTGGCGCCATTCAAGAGAGAGGGCTACTTCGGGTTATGTTGTTGGTGTTGCCCGATTGGGTTTGGACATTGAATCACAATTTTTGCTGTATCGTTCTCAATGGATGGTTGCTTGGTTCCAATGTGTTATCTGCTCTTGCTTTGACTACTCGGACTTCAGTGTGATTTGCAATTGGGATTTTTTTGCTTCATCCACATTCATGTTCCTTGCCCCTATACCTCCCCCTATAAACCCACCACCCCCCAAAACAATTATTGCGGATTCGGGCTGCCCTCCTCAAGCCGCACACAACCATGTCATCCGGCAAAAAAAAAAAAAATTTAGGCAGTCTACCGACCGCCGACGGGTCCGCCTACGGGTCAGCCGGACTGGTAGGCGCGCCTACCGCCTACGGTAGGGGTAGGCGGTAGGCGCCAAAACAACCCTGCATACCTCCCTGTTCCCAATTGTCCTCATAATATTGAAGGAGATCCTTTTGCGAGGATCACGGTCCTCGGTAGGGCTATGGGGCCCTGCTTGCAGCATTACCCGCCCTAAGTGAAAGCGGCGGTGCCCGCCCTAAGTGAAGGCGGGCCTGGCTTTTTGCAAAAGGCCCTCGACTGTCAATTTCATATTTGGSGTCCAGGCAGTTGCGACGCGCCAGTTGGTTGAGAGAAACACAGGCCGAGCAACAAAGACATTTCCACGGCCCTCCGGGCTTTTCCAAAGAATGCAGGCCCTGGGCGTGATTCGCAGCCTCATACAGAGACAGTTGGGCGCCCAACCGAACGAGGCCCAGCAGCCCAGTAGCTGCTGTACACAGGCAGCCTCCTGGGGCCTTCCGAAAGCTTCTGGGCCCAGGTCAGTGCAGCCAGGCTGCACGAGCAGGCCAACTCTTTCCATAAAGGAAAGAGCTCTGCCCTGGCTGCCTCATTTAGGCACTCGCATGCTGGCGGCAGCGCTGCTGGAGCAAAGGCTCGCGGCTGCTGGCTGGCGCTGAGAGGCGAGGTGCAGCACGTGCGGTCGTGCAGGGAAGAAGGGCGCTGCTGACGGCAGCGCCATAGCCCAGCCACCATAGCTGGTGGGTTTGGACTACAGTGAGGCGCAGGGGTGGTCTTCGGGTGAAAGAGAGGACAGGTGTGGGTGTAGTCAGGGGATAGGTGAAGGATGATGATGATGATGATGATGTGAGGGCACTTACCTTGTATTGGCGATGGTCTGCATGGGCAACATCTTCAAGTACTTCGGGCTGCCGCTGATGTCAACAGTTGCATTGTCTTTTTGCTAGTCTGTAGTAGTTGTGTAGGAGTAGGCTGGGCGCTGAGCGCCAAGTGTGAGTGTGAAGGAACTGGACTCTTGTGTTGGGAGGAGAGAGTATGCTCTCCATGAACATTGGTTTTCAGTGCTACAAACCTTCGTTGGTGTATTATTGGTGCAATGCTGCTCTCTGGACACGGTGTGACTATTTGGCTTTCAATGTGATGGTGTGATCTGGAATTGTCATCTCGCTGTTACTTATTTTCCTTGCAATTTGGTATCGGAGCTGGTTCATATTGCGCTTCATTGGTTCTTCGCAATAGCTATTGGTGCTTCGCATGAGGTGTGGGGCATTGATAAGGCATTGGCGTTGAACATTGGGCGGCCCAGGGTAGAGTGGGCACGCCAGGGAGCTATGTGGTGACATACGAGGTGTATGCTGGATGATGAGAACTGGCATATTAAGCCGAGGTGGAACCGCATTCTACTGTTGGTTGTGCTGAGGCAAAGACCGGTCATCATAATTGCACATCAGGTTACTGGTGAGAAATCTGTGGTTGGGGGCAGCATTTATGAGGTATGTTGCTCTCTTCCTTATCTACCCTCTTCATCTCTTCTTACCGTGAGGAAGTGAGTTTTGTCTTGAGAGTCCTCTCGATGTGAGGTGTCGCGAGCGCTCAACCTTGAGAGTCGACATTCTTCCTGCGCAGCAAGCTGGTGGGAGACGGGCGAAGCCTCTGAAGGGCGCTGGACGAAGCACTCGGGTCACGGTCACCATGCCAACCAGCTGGGACTAGCACACGGATGCTTTGCCGCAAGTCCTTGGTTCTGCTGCTTGCGCAATAGAGGTCATGCAGGGCATGCCAACCCTTTGACAGACGCTTACCAGACCGTCTTTAAACATTTCTGGTTGGGGACTCGGGTTTGAAGATCGTCGTCCTGTCTTCGACGTTAAATAATTCCTGAGGAGATGGGGGCTCTCCTTAAATCCCTCCTGATCAGCCAGATCAACCGGGTGTAAGGCTCGTTGCATGCGAGGGTAAACAAAAGTGCAGGGGCTGGCATGTTCGGCGTTGACTTGGGGCACAGGGGTGGGCCGGATTGCACACCTTCTAACACGCTGCTCAACCAGATGCTTAGGACGTTGACACAAAGTGACCACTCAAGAAGGATACAGGGGGAGGGGGGATTCCGGTAACTGTTCGCAGTGGCAATCAACAGACAATCTGCCAGCAAGCATACATCTCCAACAGGAGATGTTATTTTTATTTTTGATTATCTAGTTGTTACAGACTTGACTAACAACTGACAAATAGCTACGGACAGATTAGATCTTTGCTGTATTGCAATCTGTTCCAGGGTAATCTAAAAATAGATTGAATATATCCTGTAGGACCTGACATTAGTTGTTACTATATCACCTAACTGTTTCTGTTCCAGCCGACCGAAATTAGTTGTGGTTCATAATCGGTTGTGTGTCAGGCTAAGGTACGATTCAGTGTGGATTCTAGTTTAGATCACACACACTGTAGCTCATGAGTGATGCAAGCACTAGTGAGGAGGAGTTGCTAGTGGACGACCGTAGGACTACTCGCGGGACTGCCCGTAGTCGACCCTTGACATTCTTGGAGTTAGGTCCAAGAGACGAGAGAAGATTGCAGAGAGAGGCTAGAGAGAGAGCAGCGGCAAGGAGAGCGAGGGCAGCTGAGGATAGTGCCAAGACTAGAGTCTCAGCTAGCACCGGTGCAACCGGCTACCTCATCTATGTCGCAAACCTCTTCACAGTCCACTTCGTCAGGAGTTAATCAGAGTGGTTCACAGGGGACCATTAGTCAGATTGTTGGCTTGCGGGTCAGCCAGCAGACTCAACTCACGGCGGAGGACTTAGAAATCCGTCAAGCAGAAGAACTTCAAGATGAGTTACAGCGGCAGCAGAACGAAGCAGCAAAGAGGAGAAGAAAAGTCATACTTAGGAAGGCTAGACTAGGGAGTAGAATGCAGGAGCTAGGCAGGCTGGAAGGACTAGATGAGGCGGCACTAGATCCCGCTGGTCGTGTTCTGCGTAATGCTTTACTTTCAGTGGCTGAAGCGTAGAACGTCCAACAGGAATTGCTGGCCGAATCGGTGGCAGGCCAGAAACAAATCCTGGCTGAACTTTGGGCTCCTCGCACAGCGGTGAGGCAGCCACAGTTTGCTGTAGTTCCCCCTGTGGGTGCGGGTCCTTCATCGATGATGCAACACATAGGGTCAACTTTCTCTCCTATGTTTGGCATGCCCCCTCCAGGAGGTTTAGCAGCAACTAGTGGTCCGGTTCATAGAGTCTCAACCGTACCATCTACAACAGTGGTCACTACAGTCCCACTGTCAAGCCACGCCCAGGTTAGTGTGCAACAACCTGTTTCAGTGGCTATGCAGCCGTTGCAGCAAGCCCCTGGGCCCATGCAGCCTATGCAGTGGATGCCTAAGATACCTTTGATGAGTCCCAAACCCTTCTCTGGTGATAGGAAGAAGGAAGAGGACTTAGACACCTGGGTGAGGACTGTGCCTATTTATGTGAGGCACAAGCTCACGAGGCCAGAGCAAGAAGTTGTTGTGGCTGCCTCCTTTTTAGAGGGGTCAGCAGCCCGCTGGTTGAATGGCTTAGTACAGCAGCAGGGCTACGGTCAAAACTTCGATGCCTAGGCACAGGCCCAGACATTGGAAGAATTCGTACGGTCCGTGTATAACAGGTGGCATGACCCGCAAGGGGCTCGAAAGGCCACCGATGCTATCAACAATCTTTGTGCCCGTAGGTTCAAGGATGTTAGAGAGCTCACGGATACCGTAGAGCGACTACTCGTGGTACCTGGTGTGCGCTTTGACCAGCAGGTTCTCCTGACGGATTACCTAAGGTGCCTACCTGCAGAGGTAAGGACCAAGCTGGTTGATGAAGCCTATGTCGAACAACACACCTTCGCTTCTTTTAGTAAGAACGCTCTGGATATAGAGGCAAAGTTGGGATCTGCGCATAAGGCATCTCATGATGGTAGGAAGAGACTACCCCAAGACTGGAAGAAGAAGGGTCAGTTAATGTTCGTTGACCACGATGGTCATACGACTGAGATTGACGATTTCCCAGACCTTGGGGAGTTGACAGAGCAGGATGGGGCTAGTGAGACTTCAGATGGTGGAGTCGTGGCACCCATCAAAGAAAAGGCTAGGGGGACCGGGAAGAAGAAGGTAGGACGGTCCACGGGTCAGGGAGACCAAGGGACACCCGCATGGGTAAAGCTTGGTTTGGATTACGAGGTGTGGAGAGACCGAGTTGCCAGGGGCACATGCATGAACAGTGGCAACTATGGCCACACGTCCAAGACTTGCCGCGGCAAGAAGGTCACCACGAAGGTAGCCTCACCAACGGTGGTGGGCTTATCTTCAAATCCTGGGAGTGCTTCTGCGAGCAGCTCACAGGGAAACACCTCGGGCCAATAGGAGTGTTAGCTGCTCTTACTCGTGCTGAAGTGGTAACGTTGCCTTCCCCACTTCAGGCGTTGGCCAAGGCTAGTGACCCACGCATCGCCCCGCAGACACATTCAGACCCAACGACGCTCTGTTCGAGAGATGTGTCTGAGGCCCTAGAAGAGTTAGAGACTGAGTGGTCAGGAAAGGACCCCAGGGACTCTTGGGCGATGATCAGTAAAGGTCCAAGGGGTGAACATTTCGTGGTAGAAGTAGATGTAGGTGGCCGCAAGGTTGGCGCCTTCGCAGACATAGGCTCTACACAAAATTTCATCAGTCGTGCTTGTGTGGATAGACTGCGCTTAGGGGACCAAGTGCAGTGGCTTAGCAGAACTGTAGCTTCTACGCTAGCCAACAAGCACCAAATGGTTGTCAAAGACTATGTCAAGGACGTAGCCTGTACATTCTCCTATGGAGGAGGGGAAGTGATCCACAAGATCTCCTTCCTGGTGAGCGACGAACTGCCATTCGATATGCTACTAGGCATGTACTACCTCGAAGTCTCGCAACCTCAGTTTGACTGGGATAGAAAGGTATTGATCCACAAACTGCCCAATGGTAGAACTGTTAGATTCCAGAAGTATAAAGCTAGCAGTCTAATAGAAAACTACGGGTGTATGTGCGCTTCATCCTTCTATAACTACTATAAGCAGAATCGAAAGGAGGGCATGTATCTAGGCTTTGTCTCTGAAAAAGGGGAGGTCGTTAAAACACCCCCAGAGATAGAAAGAGTCGTCGCACAATATTCAGACCTTTTTGAGGAACCCACAGGCGTGGTGGAAAGGGAGGTTGTCCATGCAATAGAGGTTGTCCCAGATAGCAAGGTGCCTAGAGGACGAATCTATAGGATGTCTCCTGCGGAGTTAGATGAGCTTCGCCGCTAGCTTAAGGAGCTCACAGAGAAGGGATGGATACAACCTAGTACCTCCCCTTACGGTGCGCCAGTCTTATTTGTCCCAAAGAAGGGAGGTCCATTAAGGATGTGCATTGACTATAGGGGCCTTAGTGCCATCACCGTTAAGAACGCGGAGCCCCTACCCCGCATTGACGACCTCTTGGATAGAGTGTAGGGATGCCGGTACTTCACAAAGATAGATCTGAAGTCCGAATACCATCAAATTGCAGTTAGACCTGAGGACCAGCACAAAACCGCATTTCAGACCAGGTACGGTTTGTACGAGTTTGTGATGATGCCTTTTGGCCTATGCAATGCGCCTGGTACATTTCAGCACGCGATGAACCAGATATTTCATGAGTACTTGGACAAGTTTATCGTCGTGTACCTCGACGATATTCTTATCTTTAGTAGGACTGTAGAAGAGCACGCTGAGCACTTGAAAACAGTGTTAGGTCTCCTAAGACAGCACCAGTACAAGGTAAACTTGGATAAATGCGAGTTTGGTCGCACCAAGATATTGTACTTGGGTCATGAAATTTCAGCAGATGGATTGAGGCCGGAAGATGCGAAGGTGGCCAGCATACGTGACTGGCCCAGGCCTCAGACTGAGGTCAGATCGTTTCTGGGGATGACGGACTATAAATTCCCCATTAACAGATCTAACTCGACTTGACATCCCTTGGGAGCGGACTGAACAGTGTGAAGCAAGCTTCAAGAAATTGACGTATGCACTGACACACTATGAAGTTCTCAAACTCCCTGATCCTGACAAGCCATTCATTGTGACCACAGACGCTAGCCAATATGGCATAGGCGCAGTCCTTGCGCAACAGGAAGGGCCCAAGTTGAGACCGATCGAGTATATGAGCAAGAAGATGCCATCTCAAAAGTTAGCTAAGTCCACGTACGAGAGAGAGCTCTACGCACTATACAGAGCGCTAGTCCATTGGAGACATTACCTCCTAGGAAGATTCTCCTATGTGAGGTTTGACCATGAGACTTTGCGCTGGATTAAGACACAGCCTGTGTTGTCAGACGCACTCAAGAGATTGATTCAAGTGATAGATATGTATGACTATCAACTTGATCCTATCAAGGGTACGTACAACAAAGTGGCTGATGCGCTATCAAGAAGGGCAGATTATCTGGGYGCGCTARTTACTGAGTTTGGCATATCTGACGAACTCACTCGATCGCTGGTGGAAGCCTATCAAGGAGACCCAGTCATGTCAGAAATCATCCGTAGATTCCAAGCAAAGGACAAAAAGACTTTGGATGAATTTACGATGGTGGATGGCTTGTTGTTCCTTGAGAAGGCAGGAATAAAAGACTATGTGTTGCTAATAGTGAGTCTTTGCGTATTTTATTTTTAGGAGAATGTCATGATGCAACTGGTCATTTTGGCTATAGAAAGACGTCAGCGAACTTAGTGCAGAGATTTTGGTGGCCTTCTATGTTGGAAGATGCAAAACGTTATGTTGAAACCTGCCAGGTTTGTCAAAGAGACAAACCAAGGACTCAGGCTCCGCTTGGGTTGATCAAACCCTTGCTGATTCCTGAAGGACCAGGCCAGAGTGTGTCCATGGATTTCATGGATACCCTTGTGACCAGCAGGTCAGGAAAGAGACACATTTTTGTCATAGTGGACCGTTTTACTAAGTACGCCAGACTGATCGTTATGCCTGAAACTGCTAAAACTGACTTTGTCATCAAGCTCTTCATGGACAACTGGGAAAGAGATTTCGGTCTACCTACGTCTATTGTTAGTGATAGGGATGTAAGATTCACAAGCGAACTGTGGCAATCTACTGCTGAGCAAATGGGCACAAAACTCCAAATGACTGCAGGGAATCATCCTGAGTCAAATGGTCAAGCGGAAAAAATGAACCGGGTACTACAACACCTACTTAGGCACTATATTAAGCCAAGTCAGGACGACTGGGATGAGAAACTACCTCTCGTTGCCAGCCTGCACAATAACGCTGTGCATAGTACTACAGGCATGACTCCCAACCAACTGCATCTTGGTTGGAAGCCACGAACTGCCCTTGACTTTCTGCTACCGGAAAGAGAATCCACTGCAGCACCTGGCAGCATAGAGTTTGTTGTCAAGTATGAACAGATGCTGCAGCAGGCTGTGGAACATATCAGGAAATCTCAGGAAGCAATGATTGCATCTGAGATTAAGCATAGACGACCTTCAAACTTAGGTAGGCGAGAGAGTCTGGATCAAGTCCGCTGAGCTTGGTCAGGAGTTAGGCATACCCCGCAAACTAATGCCACAATACTTAGGGCCCTGGGAGATCTTAGACATTGTAGGAGATCAACGAGACTGTCCTTCATATGTGATTCGCATCCCACCTCACTTGCATACCTACCCTGTGTTCCATGCCTCTAAGTTAGCACCTTTTGCTGTTACTGAGCAGTTCCCTTCCAAAAGATCAATGCTGCCCCCAACCATGGATGGCGAAGTGGACATTGACCAGATCGTCGACCATCGAGTGATGCCTGTTCCTCGACCATCAGGCAGAGGGCGACCTCCTAAGCCAAGAATGCTGGATCCTAAAGAAGACCAGTGATTCACACGAGAAGAACTCATGAGAACAGCACCTCAAGTGATCGCAGGCTATGAAAGAGCACTCAAGGGGAAGATGCCTGCAAAATAAGACACTCTTCAAAGGACTCACGAAGTAAAGGAGGAGGGAATGCGAGGATGAGGGTCCTCGGTAGGCCTATGGGGCCCTGCTTGCAGCATTACCCGCCCTAAGTGAAGGCGGAGGTGCCCGCCCTAAGTGAAGGCGGGCCTGGCTTTTTGCAAAAGGCCCTCGACTGTCAATTTCATATTTGGGGTCCAGGCAGTTGCGACGCGCCAGTTGGTTGAGAGAAACACAGGCCGAGCAACAAAGACATTTCCACGGCCCTCCGGGCTTTTCCAAAGAATGCA